ATATATGTCCAAAAGTGGGTTATTATGTCCTATGGTAACTATTTTTAATTCTTAGGGCCCTCCGTAATATTTTACATAATGATGCACTGACAATGAATAAATGTTCTTCTTTCTCCGCATCCCTGCCACCACTTGTTATCCTTCTTGGTTTTGAGAATAGCCATTTAGCAAATGTGAGGTGATATCTCCTTGTATTTGTGATTTCTATTCACCTGATGATTAGTGATGTTGAGACTTTGGTTTCGCTTGATATATTGGTATCAATTACATGTGTGCTACTGTGACAGGACCGCCCCTTCCAGGGATGCTTGAGGAAAATGAATTCTTAGGAGACAGAAGTTCAATTAACATATCCAGTTGTTCTCTTTCCTGAGATTAAGATTGATATGAATTTCTGGGGAGTTGCTAGGGCTCTGTCCTTATAGGCACTCAGAAGGAGCAAGATGGGAGGAATGGGAACAAATTCTTTGTGGAAGATTTACGTATTGTAGTAGAATTTTTCAAGGTCAACTTGGAGCAGGATAATAATTGTGTCCCCTGAGAACTCTCACATTAAGTACTCCTCTTCAGAAGATTTTGGTGATCCAATGGACAGGACAATCTGTTCTCAACTTCCTCCATATGCTTCCAAATGCTTGTGAAAGAGCTTCATGAACAGTGAACAATAGAGACAAGTGGGCCACGTGCATGGCTGAGTATCAAAGACTTCTTGTAAGTCTGACCCCGACACCACTACTCTTGTAGACCTACAGTCAACAACCTACATCAGTTATCAACATCAGTTTACCACTGTATCCCATGTTTCCCATCTGCCACATGGAGGTAAGGGGGGCCTTTCTGTCTCAGCATAGTAGCTATTTGTCTTCACTATCACCAGTGCCCTAGCATCCTCATCCTCAAATTTCGTGAATATCTTATGCATTCCACAAAAAAGGAATATATTCAGCAACTGAGGAAGTCCCCTCCTAGTGCTCATGGTGAAACCTGGGGATGGCACACAGGTCTGTGGAATCCAGGGACCTCACATTTGTTGCTACCCAGAATCAACTGGTCTTATACAGCATTAATGTGACCTGTTGAAATCTTTGCACCAGTTCAAGCTGAGAAACATCCTCAGAGGTTGAGGTGGTCTCTTGCAAAATTGTTTCAATGCCACTTATTTCTCCATTAACTAAAATTTTAGTTAATGAAATATATGAATGTGAAGCTCTCATAATTGTGCTTAATAATTCATACACCAAACTCTTCTTCTAAGCATCCCAAGCTAGGCATAACTGATTCAGTAGTTTTAGAACCTTTGAGAGGACAATGTATTGTTGAAACTTGGGTTTCCTGAGACAGGTTCTCTTCTGCCCCAGCTGTACTGAAAAGCTAGCGGCCATAGGCTGAACTCACTGGAACCTGTTTTTAGCTTCTGCTTTGTTAACCCTCAGTCAAATAGCCACAGAACTCTCTCCTGTAAACCTACACATTAAAATGCTCTGGTGGTTACCAGAGCTGCAGAGTTGAGATGAAAAGAAAAGTAAAGAGGAAAGAAAGAAGCCAAAGTGACAGCCAGGAGAAAGTAGAGCTTCTAGGCCAAATGCTGTAATATAAGAGGCAAGCTTGCATTAAGAAAATTGGGCCTGGATTCTGTTTGTCTGCCACATCACAAACCCCAAGTAACTTTTATAGCAACCTCATTTGTCTCAAGTAGACACCCAGAATCCTGCAAAAAGACTGGGTGAAATCTATCCATGCCTGGTGTAGAATCCTAGGTGCACACACAGAAATGAAGTGCAATGCCCTCACAGTCCCCATGTTTGAACACTTCTCCCCACCCATTCTTCTATTTAGCCCACTCCTTGTTAGAATGCCTCTTTCCAATCGTTGTGTTAAGATTCCAAAAACACATATTGTGTAACTCAGGAAGTAATAGAAAGTGGGATACCCCACGTGAGGATGGAGTGGCCCTTTTGTCTGTTTGGAGAGAATACCATGTCCACTTCAACAACCCAAATGGTCTAAGAAGTTTTAAGTTTTCCATCTTCATTTATGTGGGAGGAAAGGGTTGCTGTATATGAGTGAACAAGTAAGAGTTATACATGGCACCATCCCAGGAATCCATTTAATTAAGTCTGAGGTGGGACATGGGAGACACTGTGTCACATGCTGTGGAACCCTCAGTTGTTTTGGATTGTACTTTGAATCCAGGACAAGTAGTGAAAAATACTAGCATAGATGCCAACATCGGCCCTCAAGACACATCCATCTGCAAAAGACAGGATTCCGTAGAGTACTCCATTGCAGACTGCGGGGGCTGCTGAGACTTCCTGCCAGCAGAAAGAAAACCAGGTTACGTTCCACAGTTTCCACAAGGAAGGGGGAAGTTAAGGCAGAAGTAATTAGAACATTTACCCTGCAAGGCACCCTCCTTCCTGGCACGATGCCCACACAGAACATATTCTGCTTGATGGTTTGGGTTCTGTAGCCTCCTTGACAATCTTTCTCAGAGATTACAGAGATGTTCACATTCTGCAGTGAGTCAGGTTCCTTGGCTACAGAAAAGAGAGAAGTTGGACTTCCTCAACAGTTTTCCTACATACTGAATCAGCTTTACTTTCTCTCTTTTTCAACTTATTTCTCCTTCTATCGTAAGAAAGGAAATATTGTGTGAATAGGACAACTGTGGTAGTCAGGATGACCTGGATACAGGTTACCACATTAACAATTTCTTATGATACAAGTGCCTTTCTCTTTATGAATGTGTTTAAATGAATAGCTACTGACAGTCTATTAGGATTTGCATGAAAATTTTGGGCTAAGCTAGCTGGCAGACAGGTAACAGAAAGCTATGTTAACTTGACTTTTTTTTCGGGAAATTTTAATTTTAAGACATAGAAGAAAGCTTAGGTTAGAATATTTAGTTTCAAAATTCATTGATAAAAATGATGGTACCCTTTGACAGTTTTCTGAAGAAATGAATACTATCTAGAATGTTCTCAGTTTAAAATACTTTGTAAGTTAAACTAGGTCATCTCCTGCGTCTTGCATAAGGGAGTTCCGATTTAGCACAGGATTAGGTATATTTCTTGTGCTTATATTTTATTTTTATTTGTTTATTTATTTTTTCGTATTTCAAGGCTCTAAGTTTCTTTATTGCTTCTTTCCACTGAAACCACTTCTATCATGCATGAAAGCAGAGATGATAAAAAGATACAGCAGGAAAATGGCTTAAAGGATCCCTTGAGTAATGGAAAGGGAAAGGGAATGATCTGAAAGGGATGAATTTGGAGGCCTGGGAAAAGCTACATTTAGCAGAATTGCAGAAGCTGAGATGAGAGCGTTCAGAAGCATGGCTAATTTCAAGAGAATGCCATTGAATTCAGCAGACATCACACATATTACAGACTCACAGACATCACAAATGTTGTAGCCCCAGGTGGTGACCATGCACATGGTATTCACACGGACAGGATGGTTGGGGAGTTTGACCAGTTTCACATAGTTATTGAGATTAATCACTTTTTTCAGCTTGATCAACATGACGTCATTTTGGATAGATGAGACTGAGAAGTAAGGGTGATAAATCATCTTCTCATAGCCGACCACCTGCACATAACGTTCCCTGCTATCTGAAGGGTTTGTGATCCCCAACACCACTTGGAGCTTCCTGGAATGATATAGATGTTCACAACAGTACTTAACATAGGTGACTTCTCCATCCTATGGGCCTTCACTAGCCCACAGATGTTTTCCTCTGCCACTGAATGCCCCTCAAAGATCTTTCTAACCCCATTTAATTGGGAGATAGTTCTGGGCAGTGTCTGACCTGAAAACCCAAACAGTAGTGTGGCTTTTTACTCACGGCAAGTTGCAATGTGCAGCTGTGATTACCCAAAGTGGATGGATCAGGGCTCCTACGCAGGGCAAGTAATCGGATTTCAAGTAGACCAAGTAAGAGGGGGTAATGGCACCTGTGTACTCTGGATTATAGGCAAAGGCAACTGGAAAGAGAGACATCAACAAGAAATTCTGAGATTTCTCAATAGTCACTGAAAAACCAAAGGAGCATTATTTAATAGGCTCCTCCAACCTTCTCTTGATATCTTTAAGTATAAACTAAACCTATAAATTGATTTTGTTCTAAACATGAAGAAAATAATGATAGAAACATATGTTTAAAAAATAAAAAGGGGTTTGCCCTTTTAAGTGACAATAAATATTCTTCAAATAAGCTTTCTTAAATACTTTCTAAATCCAGTGTATGTAATATTAAGTCAACTTTTTTTCTTTGCCAATTTTAGAATACTTTCACAAGTCTTATTTCTTTTCTCCAAAAAATAATGCAAGCAGAATGACCTACGCACCAATACAAAGGACTGTTTCATGCTCTGCGGTGCTCATGAATTGGGAAATCCTTGCCTTACTCCCATTCTCTCACCCCAACATTAATCCTGGTCCAGAAAGGTCCAGAGTCAGCTCTTTCTTAGGAGTGGTTCTGGTTGGGGGTGTCAACGTCCTGGCTTCCCCAGAAGCATACAAACCAACAACCTCAGGTCAGGCAGGCAGGCACTGTTACAGGAGAGAGTTGGTGGGGACCGGAGAATCAGTCCTCTGTCTCAAGTCTGCCCTGGTGTCTCCTGTCTTGACCCATCTTTCACTTTTCCCCCAGGATTTCTCTTTGGTGAACACAAAGCCAGCTGGGCAGATACTCACGAGACAGGTGTGAGAGAGCCCAGATGAGGATGAGCTTCATGACAGTGGGAGAGCCTTTTGCCAGGATACGTTTCATCTCAGAGTCTCTGGGAAACAAGGAGAGGAGGATGGGGAAATATTAAATCACATAAGGAGCTCTAGGGTTGAAATAAAAGTCTTATCCAAACTCTTTCAGGGTCAGGATTCAGTTACCAAAATGGTGTTCATCTGTCAAACGAGGGGGTTGGTTTCTGCTGTTGGAGGGAAAGGAAACAAGGTTGGTGACTCTGTCCCTGACCCAGCAGGAAGTATTTCTGGAATCCTGGGTCCCCCCAGCTGCTCCTTTCAGGCAAGAAATTACATAACCTGACAAAGTTTCAGTTCGCAGTGTCTCCACAGCCGTGTCCTGTCGGGTTTCTGCAAGCTGTTTTCTGTCTGAACTACACTGACCCCTCCTGTCTCTGTGATGCTGAGCCCCATTTGTGTGACACTGGCTGGATATGCTCAGGCCCCTGGCACTGACATAGCTCCCTCTGCCTAATACTAAATTCCTCTTTGAGATACCTTAGTCCTTTTCTTTCTGTACCTCTTGAACTGATGTGGGAATCTATTGCTGCTAAGTGCAAAATAATAGAGCCATTAAAGAAAATAGTGACCATTTACTTACAAATCTAAACATGGCCTTGACGTAGAATCCACCAGTGACACTCATTATTACCCAAAAGAGTTGAAAACTTCTGTCCACAAATAAGTCTGCACATGGATGTTTATGGAAACTTTATTCAAAATCACCAATCTTGGAAGAAAACCAAATGTGCTGCATAGTTAAGTGGATAAACAGGTCGGTGCGGACGCAAAGTGAAATATTGCGAAAAATTTTTAAACATGTATTGTTAAGAGAAGAAGGCAGTCTGAAAAGAATATAAAAGTTATGACTCCAATTAGTGACATTCTAAAAAAGGCAAAATTACAGAGACAGATCAAGGGTTGCCAGGGCTTGGGGAGAAAGATGGATGAATAGGTTGATCATAGGGGAATTTTAGGGCAGTGCAGTTATTTTGTATAATACAGGAATGGTATACACAACATTATACATTTGACAATACCCACATACCTGTACAATTTGAGGAAATTATTTAATAATTATACATCAATATTGGTTCATTGATTGCAGCAAGTGTACCACAGTGAAAGATGTTAATAAGAACAGATCACTCAGTGGTAGAGTCTTGGAGGGCATACTGTAATTCTTCTAGTGTTTTTGTATGCTTGGAAAATTTCGTAAAATGCTGGAGAGAAGGTTTTTTAAAATCCCGGTATGTGTCTTAGTGTAAAAAATTCAAGGTACTTTCTAGTCTACATGGTGTGTTAGAAAGGGGTCCCCAGGTATTACACTTTACTTGGGTCTTACAGAAAGGTTGAGAGCTCATATAGTATAAACAGAAGAGAAAAACCAGCCCATGGAGAGGGAAAAACTTTAGCAAAGATGTGAAGACCTACAACTATATGGCATGTTTGTGGAACTATAATCAAGTGTTGAAGAAAGAGTTCTCAGGAAGATAGATAAGTGAGAATCACATAATGAAAGTTTTTTTACAAAAGCCTCACCTGTGTAGCATAAGACTCACCTAATTCTTTATAGGAGACAAGGAGCCAAGAAATTCATGATTTGACAAAAAATTATTGAATCTTTTGGGGTATGGATCCAAGCCCCATGTTTATGCCCTATACAACCCCTTCCCTTGAATGTGAGCACCACATTTAAGAATGTAGTCAAGGTGATGGGGTGTCACCCAAATGATTGTTATTATGTAACAAAGTGTGTGTGTGTGTGTGTGTGTGTGTGTGTGTATGTGTGTGTAGCTAGTGTAGAAATACAGGATCTTAATGCTGGTTTGATGAAGTAGTAGCTGTTTAAGAAGCCATTTTGAGGATACACAATGGTTGGGAACCTTTGTCAACTAAGGGACAGCACAAGGATCTGAGTCTGGCTTTCAGCTGACAGCCAGCAGAGAGTCAAGGTCCTGTGTCATATAAACATAAGAAAATGAATTCTTCCATTTGCATAAGCACAGAAGCAAATTCTTCCCCTGCAGGCTTGTTAAGACAATGCAGCTAAGTCTGGCCTGGACTAAAACTGAAAGATGAGAAATGTGTGATGATGTTTGAAGCCGTGCTGTCTCCGGTGAGGATTTTAATGCAGCATTGGAAGGTATCCTGTGGGCTGGTGTTTTCTCAGATATCAATGATTTAATGGTAAGGGAGATGAGGATCTTGTGCTCGAGTATCATTGTCTAATTAAGGAGACAGATGTCATAAGAATCATCATCATTAATGTCATGGTGTGGAAGTGAAGTGGGGCAGAGAAACATTTAAAAGAAGATGCCCTTTGGGAAGTGATTTCTGAGACTTGAAGGATCAGTACAAACTAGACAACTGAACAGATGAGGAGAAGTCTCTGGAGACACCAGCAAGGAGAGACAGACCAGAGACACAGACCAGATATTTCAGAAAACCTACAACTGAAGAGAGAGCAGTCAGGGAGTGGGTCTAGGAAGCATGTCTTTGAGAGGATTTATCTGGCTTAAGTGATGGCAGGAAGAAGTCTTCAGAGAGGAAAGGTCAGATAGGAGGTACCAAAACACACAGGAGAAATTTGTTCTTATATTCTACAGCAGTGAATAGTGTAGAACATGGTATCTTATGATCTATTTCAAAATAACTAGAAGGGTCTTGAAGTTTCCCTACATAAACGCTCAAATACATGCATAAAAATACATGCATAAATAAATCCAAGCCAAAAAGAAGATATTCATCAATAAAGCAAGTCTGTAAGGAAGTTAGGGGAGATGGGTATGTTTGCAGATTTGGTGGTGGCAGCTGTCGTAGAAGATGTCTCCCCTGCTCCCAAGCCAGAAGGTATCTGCTAAAATTGAGCATTGCATCCAAGGTGTGAGAAGAGAGGAGATGCTCTGAAATGGTGCTGTGAAGTTGGGCAAACAATTGACAATTGACTTGAAAAATACAGAATTAACTGCTATAGACATTTCAAGACATGCTCAGTTGAGGGCTTTATTTATTTATTTTTTAAATCATGGGGTCAAAAATACAGATGTGATTCATTAAGGGGGCAAGGAATCAGCACCAGAAGTGGGGGACACAGGGACAAAGCTGGGAAAGAAAGCAGGTTGAGAGAGACTCACATTTTGAATGGGGCCAGCGGTTTTAGGATTCATGGAAATCTTACATTCTTTCTCTTCCTCTATCATTTATTTTCTACCTTCAGGTGCTACTCATTTCCGTGTATTTTTTCCAGAACATATCACACTTTCACATTTTTATTTGCTTTTCTGATACCTCCCCCCAATGGTCTGCCTCCTTTATGGTGTCTCCTGTGATTCCACCTAAATGCTTAGATTTATGCCCTTAGAGATTATTGTTCAACTCCATGATCACAGTTGCTACAAGAATGGACTAACCAATGACAAAGGTCATTCCATACCCTTGCATGTACCTCCAGCGAACGCAGTGTGTACTAAATAATTGGTGGTACCATGATTTTTGTATGAATGAACAAAGAGTTGGAGTGTTGCTAAATTTCTCATCATTTCAAAGTTCACATGATAAAGAAAGCAGCAGTCATGACAAATTTCTGGTGCCTTTTTGTTTTTATTGAATATATTCCCCTTGAACCATGTTCATGAAGAGAAAAGATGAAGAATTGTAGATCCAGTGTAGAAAACATGAAGAGATCAGACTGAGGGGATGGGGGACAGGCACCTCAATAGGATTCCATGATTTTCATGATCCATCTTGAATAGGCATAAATTTCCGTAAAGAATCCCTCATTTCCCAGAGTATAACCTGCTTTTGCCCAGGTCAAGATTCCATGCAACCTCCCACTGCAGATGGCTGGAGCAGCGGAAACTTCCTGCCAGGGAGAAGGAACACATTGATGTAACTTTGTTGTCACACAAGAGTAAACACTATGAAGTGATGCACTATAGTAGCAAAATCGTCTAAGGGAATGGATTTCTACTGCTTGAGAAGTGACAAGCCTCTCTTCACATGCAGAGAAGTCTCACCCTTCTCAGTTTAAGCTTGATCCAACCTGAGTGTAAGAAAGGGAAAGGACAGATAGATGGTGACCCCAGGCTTTGGGGATTAGCACCCTATTGTCATCTCTCTGCCCCATGGAGCCCACACTGTCTTACCATACGGAACATACCTTTACTTTAGTTATGAGGCTTAGAGGTTGTCCCACACACATGATGTTTAATTTTGGTTTTGGTTCTTCTTCTTGTTGGAGCACATCCTGGCAATCACTGGCAGAAAGAGGATGTTGGCTTATCCATGTCAGGATATCTGGGTCACTGACTGTGGGAACGAGAAGACAAGTGGACTCCAGAGTTTAGCTCCTTATCCCAAGTGCCCTTATGATCAACCCCTATGTTGGAGACAAATTCATCCCTGAGAATATCTCAACCTACATCCCACCCTTCTTGAGGTTCTTGGTTCAGAATCTGTGTGGGAGAAGCAGATTCATAAGTCCCCTTCCACCAGTCACCACATCTTTAATTTTCTCTCGTCCGTGAATAACGTATAGACCTTTGAAACAACTGTGTAAAGACGATGAGTGGCCACTAGAAGAAAGATAGTAAAAAGGCCATGTCTCTGTGGTCTACACACCATCTTTTCCTTTTAACAGCTACTTCATATTCTTTACATTGGTAACTATGTTTATGGTGTAGAACTGCTTTTCAAATTGAAGTCATGGGTTGCCAATGATTGAGAAATGCCACATCAGGTTATTTTGCTGTAAGAACGTCATAGAATATATTTCACAGACCTAGATGGGACAGTCCACTGCACACCTGGGCTTTGGGGGATAGCCACTACTCCTAGGCTACAAACACATACGGCAAGTCACTATACTGGACAGTGCAGGTGATTGTACCACAACAGTAAGGATTAAAGTATGTAAATATATCTGAAAAGATAAAGTGAAAAACACGAGGCAATAGGAATTTTTCAGCTTTATTATAATTTTAAGGGACCAGTGTTGTGTGTCTTCCATCACTGAAGCATATGGTACATGATTTCAAATAGATTATTTATAAACTGATCACTTAGAAGCGTGCTATCTGTATGTAAAGACATATTTCTCCCTCAGAAGTCATTCTGTTCATCTCTTTCATAGAAATTGTTTTTTTTTAACACTGTCAATTTCAAGATGCAGGGACTCTAGCTACAGGGTTGTATAATTTTAATCTCTGGTAGAGAGTATGAAGGAAGAAGAAAAGAAACAAAAAGTAATCAGAGACTCATCATACTAAGCCTGGTGGCTCTTAAGGAGCAGGATTTTTCTGATAGAGTATATCCAAAAAAAATGCCCCAAAACAGATTAAGCCAAAAAGTCTCAGAACAGAAAAAAACAAAACAAAACAAAACAGAGAGAAGTTATGTTTAGTTTTATATGTCTAATTAAGATATGTTTAACAAGCTAGATAAAATAAATTACTTGAAATAAAAAAATTCTTAATAAATATCAGAAAAATTCTTAATAAATATCAGAAGCCCTGATAGGAGAGGAGTGGTCCCTCACTATAATTGACATGTAGAGCCCACACCATAAAAACCTTTGTGTGGTTTTATTTTATTTACAAATGGTATATCAAGAAATACTTTTGTGAGGTGTGATCCAAATTGCTTTGAATAAGACTTAAGAACAAAAATCACATGTTGTAATTTATAAGATTCCCAGGTACTTTGCTTTTAAATTGAAATGTGAAATTGCAACACACTGAAAATATAAAAGTTCTCATTTTTTTTTTGCTTTTAAATAACATAATTATTTTAAAAGTCCCACATTGTCTTCACAGAACAAACAGACCAGCTGTGGGTGCCAGATGCAGGGTTTAAACCTGATCCAACAGGTTTTGACAATACTTAAAGAGAACATAAGTGGTTATTAGCAGCCACATGAAGTTATCTGCCAACAGGGACCAACAGATTCACTAACTTTCTTTACAAAGTGCCCATGAGAAGACAGACATCTCCCATAGACATCAAATCTCTCTGCTCATCCAAATTTGGGCTCACAGAGGAGGATGTGTACCTACAACATGGGTGGTGACCATAAGGTATGTGTGGCCAGAAAGACACCTTCAGGAAGTCATAATCATCAACTCTCTACAAACCACCCAAGTCTTCTGCCTCTACAGGGAGATCTCAGAGGTATCAGGAGGGATGAGATTAGTAATCTCAGCAGGGAGCCGTCTCTGGTGATAGGACAGGTGGTTCTGCCACCACCCTCCTCTGCTCTCTCTCAGGGTCACCTGGAATGAATGGATTATCATGGCTCTGTACAGGCTGGGTTCTCTGTGGTGGGGAGTGGGATATAAACTCTGTGGCTTCACCTTGTCCTGTAAGCTTTGTTTTTTTTTTTCCCCTACTTTTGGGTGGGATCTTTGAAAGTCTCAATTAGCAACCACCCTTCTTGGCCTACTGTCTGTGCATGAGGACACTCCATCTGTATGTGCCATTTGTAATGATCTAGAATACCCTGGGTCTGGAATACCCTCCACACTGTATTTGTCTGACCTCTTCCTATTCCTGTTGCTCCCATGTCTTCAGAGAGGCCTGACAGGTCACCCTATATACTGTTCCCTTATATTGCAGCTTGATATTCGGTTTTGTGCTTTATTTTTGGCCATTTACTTATTTTTGCTGGCTTCCTCTACCAGGAATGTAAGCTCCAAGTGGGAAAACTGATCCCCCTATCTTTATTTTTAAAGTTCAGAATTCCCTGGACTCTGGCTTTAAATTGTTCTACATATACAACAATTAGTGCCTGCTCCATTTGTTGGTGTCAGATTAGCTGCCCCATAGCCAGTCTCCAAATTTTATCTTTGACCTCCAATCCTGGCCACATAAAGCTTAGCAGGAATCCTCCCAGGAGCAAGAACATTGCCTCATACCAGCTCTTTCCATCAAGTGTATCTGACCTCCTTTTCCCAGCTCCAACCTCCCCAGGATGAAGAGCACTCACAGTTTTTGTAGTCATTCCAAGTCCAGGTGGGGATGAAGCAGGACTCGTTAGATGAGATGGGCTCCAACGCTATGGCAATAGTCCCCACATACTTGTTGAGTGCCACAGGTTTGGAGAGTTTTATCATCATCAGGTCATTTTCCAGAGAGTTTGTATCAAAGTCAGGGTGAATCATAGTCAATGAATAATTTTGTACCTGCTCTTTTTTATTGTTGATGCTGGGTTGATAAACTCCAAGTCGAATTTTGATGCTTTGGAAGGAAAAAAAAAAGGCAAGGAAATGGGAAAGAGGAGAGTCAAGAATGTCATCCTGCAAAAAAGGTCAGAAGTCGCCTTCTCCTATCATCTTAATTTCATTTATTAACCTGAAAGCTGCAGTGATGTATCTTTGTCTGTAGAATAATAACTGTTGACAGGACCATTGCATTACAGACATGCTTTTATGAAGCCTGACCTGTAATGCACTCAAGAGTCAGTTGTTAAGATTTGGATAATCTGAATTAGTAGGTGGTGGGATGGTACCTCGATCAGTGATTCCACAGTGCTTTGTCTACCCTACACTGTCTTCACCTGTACATGGGACATGGGACACACTGTTTCTGGATATTCCTAGGTGTTTTGATGATTTTCCCAGGCCCATATCACTATACTTACCATGTCTTGTCTAGATTGATCAAAGACTCATGGGATTCTACTAGTAGTTTGTTGAGACTGCTAGAAGCCTTTTTGCTTATAATCCCTTAGAATCCCCATTTAGACTCACCTACTTCCATTTTCAGCAGTCTAATCATACAACATATCTAATCATTCCTGGGCTCCTAATAACCTGCCCAAAGCAGTTCACATGTTAGATATGGGTGATAGAAAGAATGTCTGATTTTCCAACTCTAAGTCCAGGAGGATGAGAACTGACTTATTTCCTTTCTGTTCCTCCTGATACAGAGGCCAGGCTTTCAATCTGTGTTGGAATAAACTGTCTTGACAATCAGGTGGCTGAGAGTTGTAAGTTTGAAATGGCCCTTTATACTCCTGCAACTGAGTAGGACTCCATTCGCATGACACATTTGCATGCCCAACAAAAGTGCAGATGTGACATTATTGTGCATCATTATTGTGCATGACGCCCTCCTGCCCTTCTGTTAGCTGCATGGTGAGACTCTGCTTAAGAGGCAGGGGCAATTCTTATCCTATGAACATCCCCTGACCAATACCATTTGGCCAAATACCCTACTATCTTTTCTACCTCAGTGACTATAAACATAGTGATCCCTGGGTCTGGAATACCCTTTCCACTTTATTTGTCTGACTGCTTCCTCTTCCTGTTGCTCTCATGCCTTCAGAGAGGCCTGACAGGTCACCCTATACACTGCTCCTTTATATTGCAACTTGATGTTCTGTTTCATGCTTTATTTTCATCTATTTGTTATTTTGGCTTGCTTCCTCTACCAGATGTAAGCTCCAAATGGGAAAACTGATTTCCATCCTGTTTCCTCACTGTCTTCTCAGTGCATGAAACAGCTGTTGCTATAGACTAATGATGAGAGAATATTATTTACTTCCCATGAAAATCTTACGACATCTTCCTCTGGATCTCTACTTAAAACACCCGACTGTGTATTCTATTGAAAACAAGCTCCTCTATCTTCACGGATCTTCCAATTCCATCAAAAACTTGCTGGGCTATTTTACCAGACTTAAATCTATTTGAATAATCTCCCCCTGATTCCATAAGCAAAGGGCTACTTACGGTAAGGGGCAGTGGGCAGCTGTCAATACCCACTGGGGGTGGATGAGACACCCAACACAGGGCTCTGGGGTGGATTTCAGATAGACCATGTAAGGAATAGTAAAATCATCTTGGGCTTTTTTCTTTTCGTTAGAAACATTTTCCACAATAAGTCCTGGAGAATAAAGGGGTCGTAGAGACAAAGAAGAAAAGAGACTATGACTGACTATGCAGGTGTTCTCTAACGCAAAGTTTTCAAGGATAGTATAGAGTTCTTTAATTTATTCTCGACATTTTAAAAAATAAGAGAAAACCATCCATGCCACCTGAGCTCTACACATTAAGGAATTTGACATGTATTTTTGCTTGAGATGAAATTATATTAAAGTTTGGTGACACTAACTTATGTGCTCATCTCGTGTTGATGAGAAATGCCCATTGACTGTACTGTGTGTTATAAAACTGAAAAAAATTAAATGAACACCCTAAATACATTATTTTAAAAATTAACTTTTGGGCTGGGATTGTAGCTCAGTGGTAGAGTGCTTGCCTCACATGCATGAGGCCCCGGGTTCGACCTTCAGCACCACATACAAATAAACAAAAATAAAGATATTGTGTCCATTTACAACTAAAAAAAAATATTTTAAAGAATTAACTTTTGACAAGAATGGGGCTAACAAAACAAAAGATTGCCTGGCTTGAAAAGAAGTGGGATAACGGGGGGCTTCCTGAACCCCTGACCTGCCTGCCCTCCCTTTCTAGGCCCACATCCTCAAATAACCATCTGCTCTGGGAAAGGAAACCACCAGGCTGTGCAGGAGAAAATCACATGCCCACGAGCTCAAAGAGCAGGTCCCAGGACTGAACAAGGCATGGCAGTGGGTATGTCCTGAGTAGCTCACAGGCATCATAGGGACTCCGAGAGCAGGTCCAGAGGACCAGCTGTGCATCCAGGGTGCTTTCTTTCATCTCCTGCAGCAGTTGCTGCTCTCTTCCGTTGCCCTTCCAACCCCTGCATATTGCCCGAGGCAGGAACCAGGCCCAAACTCTCACCAGTTGCACTCAAGAGCACGAGAATGAGAAAATCCTTCATGGCAGACTGAGATCCTTCTAGAGCAGAAAGTTGATCCGAAATGAGTCCCAAATCCTTGACAAGAGCAGCTGGGGAAGTGAGAGGTACGGAGAGAAATGAAGGTCTTACGGAAGTCTTCAAACTAGTTCTTATCAAGACCCGTTGTCTCAGGAGCCAACTCAGATATGGGTGAAGGAGAGGAAGGGACAGACCCAAGCAAGCTCTGGTGCCTCCTCTCTGATCCCTGAAGTCTCCCAAGGCGTCATTATATAACCTGATCCCCTCTTCCCTCCCTCTCTGTGACATAGCCTTTCTTTGTGGTCCCCTCCTTCCTTTGTGACTTTAAACCTCTCTCCCTGCCTTTCCCTGTCGTTTCCTTTTTTTTTTTTTTTCCCAAAATCCCTCTGCTGTCTCCACTGACTCACAGAACACTGGAGTATAAAATGCATTGGATAAACCTTTTCTCTTTCTTTTCTCCTCAGTTTGGTGATGAGGAAGTTGCGATTCTCACAGAAGTTAGTGGCAAAGTGGAAACTCGGAACGAGGTCTCAAGATGCCCTGTGGCAAAGTTGAGCTCTGCTTGGACCCTGTGTGCTTCCAGAAAACAGGGACAGGTAAGAAATTCCCTCACCCTTCTGTGTCCTACAAGATGAATTACCACCAAGAACCTCCTTCCCACCAGACTTGGATCAGACTTTCCATGCACTCGTCCTTTCCTCATGGCTCCATGAAGACATTTTTTGAGTCACCCCCTGTTGACCTGTTGCAGGTCAATCAGATCTGTCCCCCTTTTCTTGTACCTGCTGATGAAGGCAGACAACAATCCTCCAAGTCCTCCTCTTTCATTTCATGAATGATGAGCTAATATCAAATAGTACATTTCCTTGAAACTAGCTACACTCAAGTAACGTTTTCTGTTAATCCAATGGACGGAGCTTCCCCACTGTTTGCAAAATAACCCAGAATCTAAATCCCACTACTTAAACTTATTTACCCCTCCCTCTGAAGGTGTAGGACAAAAGTACCCTGCCAACATGCTCTAGATCTTCAGAACTGGGATGCTTTCCTATGGAATAGTGAATAAAACCAAACTTTATACCCACTGCTTTTTCTAGATGTACCACACTCCATTTTGTAAGATAATCTTACCATGATACTTTCCTGTCTCCCAGAGATAAGTAATAAATCATGGGTTTAACCCCAGATTTTACAGAGATTGAACAAATGCAAAACAGGCAGCCCTGGACTGACCTTTGCCATAGTAAATGAAGAACTGATCAGTTATGAGAGACTATACAAATAGCATTCCTCTATCTGTAAAAATATATATATACAAACTTAGTTCTTGTGAAATTTAATTTTTAACTTAAACTATGTCATCTGGATATTCCTAAGTGTTCTACTTTGGCGATTCCATTTCTTTAGTATCCAAATCTTTAAAACATGATTTATAATAATAAGGTCCCCATTTATTGAGTTTTTACCATGTGTCACATGTCCTATATGTGTTAAACTCACTTAGCCTTTATAATGGCCTATAAGTTAAGTGTCATTGATACTCATTTTCTGCAAATATGCTTTAGCTCTAAGTTTAAAAATCTTGCTCATAATCACGCAGCTTAAGCCCTCCATTCATGACATTTTAAGAAGCCCAGAACCTCTCTGCTCTTTCCAAAGATTTATTTGATAGGACTGGAACTTATTTCTATCAATTTTTTTAGTTATCTTCATTCTGGTTTGTCCCAATACATGAAAGCATCTATCTCAACTTCGTTTATCAATTTACCACTAACCTCGTGCTGGAGTGGGTTTCAGATTCGCTGAGGATTTGGATATATTAAGGGAAACTCTGACACAGACTTCAGAACATACTTTCATAAAACATCAGAGATCACACTGTGAGTGCTTTTAATTACCTGTAGCACATGGACTCTCCTACCAGAGCCTGGTTCCTGCTACATTGTTGGGACCAGCCTTGGGTCCTTATTTTTTTGTTTTCCTTCTGTCTTGGCCAGCTACCATTCCTGTTCCCAATAAGCCCCAATAGTAAGACAGATACCTTTGTCTGTTTTTAAGCCACCACAGGAGAACTGAGCATTTTTGTTAATATCTTACACTGTGAAACCCATCTCTCTACCTGTTCTCAATCTGGTCCTCTCAAGTCCTCATCGATGAAAATATGAGGGCAACTTCAGTCAATTTTCTCACTTTTAAAATATGTTTTCTTACTTTTCTAAGAGAAAAAACAGGCTAGAGAACAACGATTCACTGTGTGGAGAAGTAAGAGGGCACATACACTTAAGGGACATGAGGTCCTGTAATCACCATCCTATTCATGAGTCCCCATATAACATTTCATTCAGAGTCACTCAATTGTGACCTCAACTAGCACAACTAAATCTCCAAGAGATTTATTTTTGGGTATCAGATGATGTGGTGCACCTTTTCCCTACAAAAGGTAAAGTATAATTCTTTCCCCCTGGAATGTAGACTGGCATCATTTTTTACACTATTTCGTGTCTATCTGACTATCTTATTTTGAGGAACATATTCTTAGACTCCAGACACTACACTATAAGGAAGCCTAGAATGTCCCATATGGAAGCCTCCTGGAGAGGCAGGCATAAGTGCTCTGGCCAACCGACAGGCAGCATCAACTACCAGATGTGAGTGAGGAAGCCTTTGAGGTGGCTCCATGCCCAGCCACCAACTGACTATAAATGAGTGATCCCAAGCAAGAACTGTGGAGTTAAGCCCGGTCAGATCTTCGAGTCAGAAACTACAATAATAATCAATGATGGCTGTTACTTTACTCATAAATCTGAGGTCCTTTATAAAGCAGACATCAATAATCAGAACATGTGGCAAATCACTTCCAACTCTACTCCATTTTTAATGGTGGGGACCAAAGTGGGTTTTCTTAAAGGTGGTGATTCTGCTTGAGTGAGGAGGTTTCCTATAAAAAGTCCCCCTCGATCTAGAGGGTCTCAAAAGAAATTTCACTGCCTAAGATATTATGGTATTTAGTCCTACTATCCATTTTTCATCATCTTTGTGTTTTCTCCATTCCACATTGGAGGGGCAATTCTGGGAAGTGGTGATATGATGGCCAGTGGCGGGGGTGGGGGAATCTCAAGGTCATCTGGAGAAGGATTGCCAGGGTGCCTGGAATTAAATAGTAAATGTCCTATAAACAAATGTTGGTTAAGTGAAATAAGTGTTACTTTAGGATCTCCATATTTTCAAGACCTTCTGGATGTCACTTTTTTAATGCCTAAAATAGTGTTGGGCTATCCCTAAATATTTCTCAGAGTTCAATGTGTCTTTACATAACAATGAGAAACATGGGCTCCGGAGTCCAACTGGGGTTCAGTTCCTATGGACTTACTAGCTGTCTTATCCTGAGAAAAACATTTAATCTTGTTAAGCTTCAATATTTTAATGGGAAGAATATTAGTGTATATTTTCACACAATCACTGTGAGAATAAATATTATTTTAATTTCTTAAGCATAGTGTGTAGTACCTAGAACATACTTACTATTTGTTACCAATTGTTACTATTCCATTTTTCACCTCTGCAAAAGGGAGAAATTATTCTTGAGTACTGTAACAAGAAGGCAAACAAACAAACAAAAACCTTCAATATGTTTCCAGTTCTTAGAGTTGTTTGCTTTGGTTTCAGCACTGTCCTAAAACTTGGCTCCTCCTGTGATATAAATATTATTTTAATATTTATCCTGAGGTCAGGAATTGAGAATCATTGAGCCATTGTGGATTTATGGTCTCCCCAGCCCACTGTGCTGCTCTTGGGGGGAAAGTGCATTACTCCCTGCAATTCTGTTTCACTTGGGACATCCTGTGACCAACATAAGACTATGAGAAATTACAGGAGGATAAGGATGGGACAGGTGAGCCCAGGAAGCCTCCAGAGCTGCTGCGTGCTCTGCTCATGGTCAGTTGGCTTTATCCCTAGAGATTAGTGTCAAGGGGTTTGTTTATAAAATAGGGATGACTTTGTGAACTAAACATCCTGGAAATTTCATTGACAACCAGTATTATCTTTCATAAAACCTAACACCTGTTCATTGGGAAAAATTCACAAAAAAAGAACTCCAAAATGAAGCAACAATAATAAAACACCAGAATTTCATTTAGAGTTGTCTACTCTTCACATGTCAGGCATTCCAAAGCTGGTTTTTTGTTTGCTTTGTCTCAGTTTATGTGATTTCCCTCCCTCACCAAATATATGTATATATCAATAGTTGTTTATATTAAAATGTTTCTTCTTTATCCTGCTGATGTAGTTTTTATTTCTTGTCTGGATGTTGAATGATATGGTATTTAAAAGAAGATATTTTGGAGTCACCCAGAGCTACAGAAAACTATTTTTCAGTTGAACAAAGGCCTTGTCTTGGTATCCTGTAGCAACTGTGCTCCTACCAGCCTGCTGGTCCTCCTTACCCTGCACATGGCCGGCTTCTTATGGAAAACCTCACCTTTCATCCCATGTCGGTCTTGGGGCTCATCTACACATTATTCTATCTCATTTTCCAAACCAGATTCAACTTTGAAACAAAGTAGAAAAAATTATTCTGGACAGTCCTTGGGAAATTGAAGAAGAGAATTCATGTTGTATATCATACAGCTGGATGTTTATAAAGATCCATCTTTATGATTTTTAAAAAATTTTCTAATGTTGATGGACCTTTATTTTATTCATAATGCCACAGTCTGGCTGGGCACAATTCACGAGCTACTTGTCAAGCATTTCAACTTTATTTTTAGAACACACATGCCGCACCACACGAGTTCTTCAGGAATTCCCTCAGAGCCCAACTGCCACCACTGGCTTCCGGCGAGCCTCTCAACCCCCCACTCCTCCTGCTCACAATTCACGAGCTACTTGTCAAGCATAAACGAACTTTTTTTTTAGCACACATGCCGCACCACACGAGTTCTTCAGGAATTCCCTCAGAGCCCAACTGCCACCACTGGCTTCCGGGGAGCCTCTCAATCCCCCACTCCTCCTGCTCTTGAGGCCGATTGGCTGGGTTGCATGGGTGGAGCCAAAAGAGTTCTCCAATGAGCAGCTCTGTGGTCTGAAAGGGCAGGGAAACAGCTTAATGAGAATCACCACAGAGGAGCCAATCAGCTGGCAGCTAGAAGTTTGCTGGGGCCACTGTGAGCCAATCAGCTGGAAGTTTGCTGGGGCCCCTTCGGCTGTGGCTCTCAACATCTCCCCCTCTCTGTTTAAACAACAA